CTTTTCAAACCATGCCTTCCACCGCTGTATTTGCAATTGTAACAAATAACTTATTTTATTTGGGTTTGAATTATGTCACTTTCAAAAAGAATTCAATTAAAAAACCCAAACAAACAAACAAACCCATCATCATGAGCCCCAAAACATACAAAAAATTTCAAGCGTGGCCCTCCTGGCATTAGACTTATTGCTAATTCATGGGCAAAGAGGCTCTTGTATCGCTCTAGTGTATCTTCTACAATGGCATTTGCATATATTGCACACTGTATTTTATGCTACCTGGTTATTTTTGGTTTCAATAATCAACCAACATGCCCAGGGATGAAAAGTTTTCATCCAGATGATGAAATGCTTTCTCCAGAGCAGGTCATAAAATACACTGATAAGGTTTGTGTTAGCCGCTTACATGTTGTAAGTGAATAGTGAGGTCTAAAGTGCTCTAAGCTATCACCTGAGCCTCTGGTGTCACTTTAGAAAGGCATGCATCTCCCTCAGGTCCTATCCTATTCTCTGCCAGCCCCACTGGGATGTCTCACATAGCACTAGAGGTCTGTTTATAGCACCCATATCAAGCCCCAGGCGTCCTGAACAGGAAGGGACAACGCTTGCACTCAAAACACAAGCTGCAGCACTGTTAACACTTTCACCTGACAGCAGTGATTGCCCTCAAATGCAAGTTTTACAGAAGCCATTTGTTGCATTTGGCTTCTCTCTGAATTCTCCTAAGCACTTAGTGGCTCTTCAGCTCTTTTCCTGACCTCATCGCTGTGTGTTTATCCAAATGACTTGATTCTAACTTTACTGCTGAAGCATCATAAGGAGCTGTAGCCCAGCCTATCTACCCCATCCCTCCCATGCTACTGCTGATCTCCAGCCACACCAGGCGCAGGGTAGCCATGTGTTGTGTGATTTACCCCTTACAGAACACAGATTGAAGACAGAGATCATACCTTCATAAACCCAGAGTTACCAAATAATTCCATTTGCTGAAGCACTTCTAAATACTCTTTGCTGAGTCTCTCTCTGTGGGCTGCCCACTGTGTTTAGGATGAGGTGTGACTTACAGCAAAGGAAGTTTAAATTGGACATCAGGATGTTCGCTGCGCACCAGGAAAGTAAGGAGTCTCCACTGTAGGTCTTTCGGAGCAGGGTTGAGAAATAGATGTCAGGAATGGCAAAATCATAGCCGATCTTGCCTTTGGGCAGAGGCATGGGTTGGGTGACCTCGAAGTACCTCCTGAGGATATTTTCTGTAACTGAGAGTGGTATGTGCCATCTGTCCATTCTGATCAACAGAGATTTACTTCAGGAGGAGCAAAAAGTGCAATACAACCAATAATTATTCCTGACACAGATACAGCCATTGGGAGGGGGGAGGCACCTCCCAACTCTGTAGAGGCCACTGAAACCTTCAGAGGTTGAATCACCTTCTGTGTAATCTGCTGAGATCCTTTTGCCCTCCCAAAGCAGGATGCTGTCAGTTCTTTCCCCATAACAGACCAACCCTCAACATTCAGCTAGATGAGCATCTCACTAAGTAGGCAACTTTCTCTGCCTTTTTAAAATGAGCAGAGAGGTGAGGAACTGGTGCTGTTGTGGTCAAGTAGCTTCATCAAGGCTGCTGAGGTGCACTGATACAAACCTGCACATGACCCATGAGGCAACCAAGACTTCTGGTCCTAAATACCAGACCCTAGTGAAAGCGAGTAAGTCTCCACTGACTCGTGAGAGTCCTCCCTGATTCACTGACACATAGCTCAAGATCTCTTGGTTTTTAATTTCAAATTCAACAAAGAAGAAAGTTTTAATATCCCCCCTCCATTTTCAGATGGAAAGCACACAATAAAGAATGACCTGGACGGTTATTCACCATCCAGATCAGACGGAGAGAATGAACAAGAAGAGCTGAAATCTGTTCAAGCTGAAGACAAGGACAAGCTTTGCAGGACACCAACAGAGATGCTGATAATGCTGATATCAGCCTTTGGATGGAAAACACCTCGCTCACAGATGCACAGAACTCTTAGAGAAAGCTTCACCACATTATGCCTCGTCCCATCTCACGTGTAAAATGTGGGTGGAAATGTCAAACCAAAGCAAAGAGCTGAAGCATAGTGAAAATAAGTGCCTTGGTGGAAAATCTGTGAAGCCTTAAGCATCCTGTACAGATGAGAAATTGTACAGCCATCAGGCACCCAGGCAGAAGTGGTAAAGGAGGAGGTTTCCCCCCACACCAGAGGGAAAAGCTGCCAGGCTCAAGAGCGAAGGGGATGGACCCAGCCAGCCTTCCAGGACCCTTCAGAGAAACACAACTGAAAGGAAGGGTGAAAATTCAGAACAGTCCCTCCAAACCTCCTGCTGTACTGAGCTTTTCCCAGTACGTCTTAAGAGGGCTTAACCACACAGCTGTACATAAAATCTATCATTGAAGATTAAACAGAAAAGATGAATAGCTTTCAAAAGTTGATTACATCCAAACTCAATAGTGCCAGCAGCCCTTATGGAAACATCCTATTAAAATATCAGCAAAAACAGAAATGCAAACAGAGGAGACCTGGCAGGAGGCTTCTCAGCTCAGATCTTTAGTGCCTTTTGCACCCACTCACAGAAGGACAAACACCATCATCACCGGGCTGGCATCTCCTGACCCGGCACAGGCTGATGCTGAGTCTGGTTTTTATGTATAAAAATACATATGAAAGTGAGACAGATGACCTGTGTGTGTGAATTCCAGCCTTACCCATGAGCAGCATTAAAATGGACCTGCTTGCCTTTTTTAGTTTTTCACACCCAGGAACAGGTCGTTTTTATTTTATGTACACACACACGTTTGCAGTTTGGACCCATGTGTTTTCTCTACAAATTCGATGGCTCCTAGCTTTCCTGGTTAATCTGGGATTAAATCCATTTGCCACATTAGATGGGATATCATTTCCACAGTATTTTGGTGATATGTGATTGCATTTGTATTGACTTTTTAATTGCAATTCGAAATAAGGTATTTCTTCCACAGATCTAATTAAATTGAAATATTTCTCACATCCCCATTGCTCACTCTATCTAATCCTTTTGTATTTCACTTGGGCAGTATGTTCTGAGGTGTCTCTAAGCACAGGACCTGCCCATGCTTTCTTTCTCCCCTGCAGAAGAATGAATTCATCAGTTGCTACAGCTCTTGAGTTACACAGGTCTGAGACTCATGAGCCTCATAAGAAACCTTAAATACATCCAACAATTTATCTAATAGCTGACCATCTGCTTAGGAAAATAATTTTAAGTAGTTAGGGCAATTCTATTAACTGCTATTTACTATGTGAGTCATGTTGCTCTTTAAGTTAACCCTAAGCTAACAGAGTCTCTTCAGTGGGCCCTGGGCCCTCTGCCCAAGGCAGTTTTGAAGAGGGTGCTTGATCACCTTTATGACTTTCAAGCTCTAGCAAAGTCTGCAATACCTCTGCACTCAAAACCCACCCCAAGCTCATACTGCACCGGGGCATAAAAGAGCATTAAAGCAACTTCTGAGTGACATTTAGACCACACAAACAAACATGCAGAAAATTCTCCCCCCAGGAGCATTCCCTGCGAAGGTACCACATACCAGCCCAGAACACACCAGCTGAACACAGAACGTACCAAACACAGCAGAACATACCTGCTGCCCAATGCACTGCTCCAGGATGGGCTCCTGCACCTTGGTGAGGGCAGGACACCCTGAGTGCTGTCTGTCAGAGCAGAAAGCCGCCTCACACATCCTCCCAACAGCTCTGGAAACAACCAGCACCCTGCAGCCTGTTCCCCTTCATCTGCCTTCTCACCCCCAGTACAGAGATATGAGGCCCCTCTGTGTGTGGCAGCTCCACTAACATACCTGCTGGGTCCCAAGGCTCAGAGGGCGGCAGAAAGATATCGCTAAAAACTGTTTCAGTCGCTTGACACAGATGAGGTGGGATGAGGACAAGGAAGGGATAAGTGTGCGTGCAGGTTTAATGCCATTTATTCAGTCCCTGCCCTTTTCCCCTTAGCGTGATTGTAAAGTGCATGATCTCCTTCGTTAAACACGATGGAGAAGTTTACAGGATGCAAGGTGCTCCTGTAGAATCACTATTTTATGATTAAGCACAAGCACAAATATCAGCTGAAGGGGCAGAAGGAGGGCTGGGCGCAGGGGGGCAAAGTCCAGCATTGATATCTGAAGGAAGATCCGAGGAGGAAACATCCCGGAGCGTGGGGGTGTGTCGAGGGACTGACAGTTGGTTGCACCGGCTCCACGGTGCAAAACCCATCCGAGCCGGGCAGGGTGAAGCGGCGGCAAGGAAACCTCGCCGCCGTCCCGGGCGGGGGATTCGGCAGCACCGAGAGGGCAACGGCGGCCACTTTGAAAAGTCGCGGGGGAGGCAGGAGCGGGGCCGGGGACACGGCGGGGGACGCGAGGGAAGTTGAAGCCGCCCGCGGCGACTGCCGGGACCGCTGCCCGCCGTGCTCGGGATGCTCGTGCTGGGGCCGCCCGCACCGCGCGGACCGGGGGAGGCAGCGGGGCGAGTCCCGCAGCCCGCCCCAGCCGCGTGGTCCCGCTGCGCCCTGGGAGCTCGCACAGCGGGCGCCCGCCCCCCTCACCGCGGCGACGCCGGCATCACCCACCTGCCCTCGGGGCGCCGCTCCCCTCCGCGCCGCTCCGGCCGCGCCCGAGACGCGTGTGGCGGTGCCGGCCCGCCGGGCGCTGCCCCGGCCCCGCTCCCGCCCTGCGGCGCCCTCCGCCGCAGGACGCGGCAGCCCCGGCGGCGCGGAGCCGGCAGCACCGACTCCCCCTGGAGGGCGGCGCGGGCGGCGCCGAGCGGGAGAGGCGGCGGGGACGGGCCCGGCCCCTGCCCCTGCCCCTGCCCCTGTCTCTGTCTCTGCCCCGGTCCCGGTCCCAGCCCCCGCCCCAGCCCCGGCAGGTCCCGCGGCCGCAGAGCAGCTCCCCACAGCGGAGCGAGCGGCGCCCGGCAGCCCCGCAGCTTTACCTGGCGGTAACCGGGCACCGGGGGGCTCCGCACCGACGGGGACAGCCCGGAGCAGCATGTCGAGAAGCGGCTGAAGGAGATTGCCACTTATTTCAAGAAGTCCAGCTCTTGTCTTCAGGGACCTGCAAGGGCCAGAAACGGGCTTGATCTGCATACAATGAAAGGAGGCAAGGAGAGGAGAACAAGGAGAGGAGGGCTTTCCCCGTACATTCTACCGAACATCTACTTCTTTCCAGGCTTGAAAACCCATCCAGTGAGTTTAAGCCCACAGCCATACCAAGTGGCACAGGGCAGTGCAAAGCAGAGGTATCTGGAAAGACTGCACAAGCAGAGAAACTTGCACTTTCTTCCCTTCTCTGCTTAACTGTCCTTTACTACTAATGGAAAGGAAACCCTGTGCATTACTATTTACTACTCTGGAAGTGTTTAAGAGTTCTCATTAAAGATATGAAATCTTTTACACAAGTTTCCCATCTCCCATCGAGTAGGTCCCACCAGCGTGCACACAGTGTTTCCTGCCCCTGCCCCTCGGGGCTGTGCCAGTCCCCAGCCATCGCCTGCTACTCTGCATGAGCAGACTTGGGGAACAGCCATGACTCATCACACAGCAATTCTGAAGCGGGGAGAGAACCTCTCAAGAATCTGAACCCGCTGCTCTTTGTGGATCTCTTCTAAGGTTTTTATTATTTCTATTTTTCAACTTTACATCTTAGCAAGTCATTTATCTACAAGTTCCTATTGGTTGGATGTTACAAACAGGAAAAAACATCAGCACAACTCCACACTTCCCACCAACCCCATGGCAAACCCCAGCCTATGAAAAACCCGATTCATTGCAATGTCAGGCAGCCCAGGCCCTTCTCTGCAGGGGACTGCTACAGCTTGGAGGCTTGTGCCATGCAACTGAAGTTATTTTGGGATTCCCAACTCCAGAGATGGCTCATGCCACATCTGCCCACAGCAGCAGAACTGGAACCAACCACTTCACAACACCCTCAAAAACTATGAACCCCTAAGATTAACAACCTAGCACCCAACCCCTGTGCTGTGCTGGGCTCCCCTCTTACCCCAGATGGGTGGCACACAGGCTGCCTTTCCACGCGGCTCTGAGTTAGAGTGGAAGCCAGAGCACTGCTCCACACACAATGGGAATCCTCCAGGGAGGAAAAAAGTGATTTTTCCCAGAAGTTACAGAAAAAGCTGGAGTGATCTCCCACACAGTAATACATAAAGATTTTAAGAACAACATATATTGACTAGCCAAGTCAAGAAAAAAAGAGAAGTGGGTGACTACGAGACATTCAGGAGCCTCATCAAAACATGCTCCAATAATGGTGAATTTAGAAATGCTGCCTGCCCACATGAAGTTGCTAGGGCTTTTTGAGAAACTCTGACCCTAGAACTGGGCACTGCTCATGTACATGGCAAAACTGAGACCATTACAAGAGGCAGTATTTTCCCACTCCTCAATTACGCTCCATGAAATTTTATGCTGTGCAATTGTATTTGAACTAGATGGGGAAGTGCCATGCTGTAGCGATTACCTGTTTGCCAGAATTTGCTGCTCCTATTCAGCACTGCTCCTTCCCAGGGTAGTGTTTCCTATATGGTAGAGGTTGCCTCACATCTCTGGCCCAGATCCTCAAAGTCATCCAAATGACTCTCTCCCACTGAAATCACTGAAAGCTGGGAATCAAAATACTTTCAAGGAGCAGGGATGCAGTTTCTAAATCTGATTTTCCTCCTGAATACATTAAAATCAAAGTTGCTGCAGTCAGCTCCCTTTATTAAGCTGTCAGGCTGTTTTCTTCCAACCATCCCATCCTCAGCACATCATCTCACAGGTTTCCTGAGCCACAGATGTTGATCAAGTTATCTTTGAAGGACTCCATAAATGCTTCATTATGTTTCTTCTCCCACTTATAACTCTTTTTTGATTTTTGCAGCTGATCAGTTTTAAGATTTGATGTAGATCATGTAGATTTTCTTTTAGATCATCAAGTCATACAAGACCCAAAGCAAATATCCGAGTGCTTTCACAAGGCTGGCTGATAATGGCACCCTGACAAGCCTCTAATGTTTCTTAGAAGTTATTTTTCTTTTATTCCATTAAAGCATTCTGACACAACTACCAAAGCCTATTACCTTCCTTTTGGAAGGAACCAAAACCACTGGTTCCTTCCCTCAGTGGCCATTCCAGCTTGGATGGCGTATCAGGTCGCCACTGTCACCTACTGATTTTCTCTGTGCAGCTGGGAAGCCTGCAGTGTTTCAATATGTTAAATATCAGCATCAACACCTCAGAGCAACTGAGATCCTCTGTTACTTTTCCATGCTCATTTCTCACTTCTGCACAAGTAAATGTGTTTATAATGAGCAGCTGCAGCTTTATGTCCTATTTAGCAGGATAGGATAGCCTTGATTACTACACTGTGATCTGAACACATCTGTTGCCTTTCATTTGAATTAAGAAATTAATTGGCTTTTATTATTTTTATGTTATTATCCCTGCTAAGTATCAGAACTGCACTGTTTTTCAGATATTTCTTCTTGTACGCATTCAACGTGTATTGTTCTTACTTGTAGATGTTTCTACTTATGCTCTCCCTTACCAGTGGCCAATACCTACAGTAATTTGGCCCTAAGGAGTACAATAATCTTACATTTTTACTTTGTTTTTATAATATATGAAGAGATAGCAGTACAAGAGAGTGCTAACTTCCTTTCCCTCCTTAGTCACTCATGAAGGAAAAAACAGCATTACTGTGATTGCTGTGGCCATATACGCTTGGACAAGGGACTACATGAACAAGTAGGCTGAAACTACCTGGAAACTAAAGAGCCTCCAGCAGCCACGGGGAAGGTACTGCCACATGCTCAGAGGTGGCTTGGGTTGCAAGCTGAAAGAAGTTCAGGACTGCAAGGAAAGAAATTAAGTTTCTGATTCTCCTGTGTACAGCCAAGAAGGGCTTTTTCACTCCTGAAAAGTGGAGTTGCAGTAGCATACTGTACACTGCATCCTAATTGAACAAGCCAAACTCCTGAGTACTGGGCAGCTGAAAAGCAGTGATACAAGATTATTTGCACTTCTCAGACTTAGCAACTGAGCTCAAGTAGTAAACTCTAGAAGACTCCCTAGAATAAACTGTGAAATGCTTCCTTCAAAAAGATGAGAGCAAAGTAAATAGAAACTTCACACTTGAGACCTGTCATGAAACTCACCCCTCTCTTTGCCGATACTCTGTGAGTGACAGTCTGCTTGGGCGCATCAGTGATGCCACTGTAAACACAAAGCAGACTCCTGCAATGACTACAGCCAAAATCAGCCTGCCACTCTGGTAAGCACCAGGAAAGTCATACCTGTGTATTGGGGCTTACTGTGAAGGGCTGAAGATGATCATCAGTTTGTCTAAAACAGAATACGGAACAATTATTGCTTTTTTAAATAGAGAAATTATTTCTGTCTAAGAAAGAGATTACTTTCTGTCAGTTTTGGAGCTCTTCTCTCTGGTGAAGCTTTTCTTTCTAACCAAACCGAATCATCTGATATATGCAAAATTACATTTAAGGGATGCGTAGTTTGCAAAGCATCATCAAACTGACTACTGCATTAGCACACATACGCAGTGTTGTTCAACAGGACACTTAAAATGATGTATTCCAATTTGTATGTAATCCCATTCCCACAAACACTGTCTTGCATCTCCTTAAAAGCAGTGAAGGGCACTTGTGTTAGTCTAAGAGAAGGGATGGAGGCAGGGTTACTTGAGGTCTTTTGGAAACACTAGCAAATTCTTCAACATGACAGATATACCTAAATAAAAAAATCCTTATGTGTGTATACATAAGCAATTATTTTTGCTTACATTGGTCAACAATAAATGTTAGTAATTTTAAAATCAACATTGGAAAACAAAAAGAAAAGGCAGCAGCTAGATTTTGTGAAGAGAATGTCCTTTAACCAAATCACACATGCAAAATTCTGCTGGAAATGCCCGTTGCTAACAACTTAATGAAGGACACTACTTGGTGTCAGAGAGCAAAGCCTCCTCACAAACCACTCAATTCCAGCATAGGAGGAGTTCAGCTTTTACCTAGGCTTAAGGAAAACAAGCTAAAGTCAAAGCAAGATTTGTGCTCAAAGGGAAACGTGAACCCTATCTCCAACACTGCTTAAATCCTGCCATTTGCACTTAGGTCAGGAACAAAAAGAGGATCTTCAGTAATTTAATGTTAAGGGTTGGACTGTTCTCTAAAAGGCACTGTCCAAACAGACTGTGGATTCATTCCTCTAAACACTATTCAGCATGACAGAATAGGAGATGGGAGTTCAATCTAAATTTAAGCATTCTCTGTAGACTAATAATAGCAGAAAAACTGGTAGCATGAATCATCATGTGGGAGCTGCAGAGCAACAGCTATTATATATATAAGTTACCTTTATACAATAAATGAACTGTTGGAGTTGCAAGGCCCAGCAGAGGAAGTCAGATGATTCTTCTTCACTTAACACTATTCTCATTTTATTCTAAGGAGCAATGAAAGGGCAACCCTTATGTAACTTGTCAAAATACACATTGTGTATAACCAAGCTCTGCCACAACAGAAATTGGAGATGAAAAAGTAGCAACTGGCCCTGTTCCTGCTAGGAAATAGTGAGTCTTGGAAATGGTGCAAAATGGTGAAACTTCGTAGATTTATGAAGTTAAATTAGTGTTTCAGTATCTTGTTCCAATGCCTGTGTAAGTTAATGACATCCCTTCACGTTTCTTCTCTTCTGGGACAATAGCCCAGCTATATTATTTTGTTAGATTAGCCATTTTGAAGAAAGATTTTTTGCAAAGACCAAACATTCTCCAAAGTTGTGATTTTTTCACAAGATAGTTCTGGTTATGAGCACCACAGACTTCACCATGAGCTTTACTCCACTGCAACTGATGGACTCTGAATGCAGGCACCCAGAGACACACAGTGTTAATTAACTCAACACATTGGCATTTTGGTGCTCTGGGGGACATTTATTTATGAAACCCATGATAGAGTCTGCAGCCCTGTGAAGCTCTCTCCAGACTGTTATGTCTCCTTCTCAAGTTTCTTTCATTTTTAAGAGCTTAACTTTTAGGCTTCCGGTGTGAGGAAAGAGCCTAAAATTGCCTAAGAAAAGGAAGCATAAACAAGAGAGTGAGCTATGAACAGCACTGGAGAGAAGCACAAATATTCCTTCACACGACAGAATCAATGCAAATGTCTAGCAGTAAAAATACTGTGATAAGACACCGTTGTGTTGAACCCCGTTTTCATAATGCTATTAAAGAGGTTCCAAAGAGCTGAAAATCCTGAAGGGCAAAGAACATGTAAGAAAAGTTGACATCATATTTTTCCAACATGGCATTTCATATATAGAAATTCAGTTCCACAGAGTTCAGTGAAACCATGGTGATACAGAAGGCAATGGCAGGCATAAAGGCTAATAAAAACCTTGGATTAGGATTGATGGCATCACTCCTTATCTACTTTTCTTAAAATTCAGAGACAAATTTGTTTCTAAACATATTCCTGCATGGGAGAAGTTTCAAAGCAATTTTTCTAACGGAGATCAACCTAATACAAAAAACCAACAAACATTTAATTAGACGTAAATACTCTTCTAATCATGAGCTGCCAATGATAGACATTAACAAGAAACTTCTCCATTCCAGGTAATGGTTGCAGCATCAAGCAGTAATTCATATGGAAGGTACTGGAGCTTTCCACAATATAATCCCTACTTTTTGAGCAAATTCAACAGTAGGTGCTGGCTGTTAATAACTTCCCATCTGGAGAAGAGAGTTCATTTTTAATGATAAGTTAATGTCTCTGTTATAAAAGAATTTTGTGTGGAAAGAACTTACATCTTCCTCGGCCCCTCCTGTCTATGCAAATTGTGGAACTACAAAGAGCCTCTGGCAACACAGATGATACAATCCAAGTCTCTCCCATTGATCAAACCAACTGTGAAACCCTTTGTTTTGTTTAGCTGAAAGTTCTGTAATGCTAACCTAGTTCTTATACCTCATTTAACTGCAAAACAACAAATATAAGCTTCTGTTTAACACAATGAATGTTATATTGCTGTTGCTTCAGAGGTTTTTATTTTCCTATTCCCTATAGCTGCAGATTTTCATTTTAGTAAGACATTCAAAAGTTATTTAACCAATTTCATTATGTTCAATACACTTATGGAGCTTGGAAGACAATGCACGAAAAAAAACCAACCCAACTTTGGTTAGGGAGCATTATCTCAGTGGATATGGGAAAGAAGAGTTGTGATTCTACAGTCTGTGCAGACACTACTAGTTTAGCATACCTCAGGCCTGGCCTGTGTCCGGCTCACTGCTGTTGTCTTGACCTTCAGACTGCAGCTGCAAGTGTGCAGGTCACTTCTACAATGCTGTCATGCACTTGCTACAGAAAAGAAAAACATCTATTTTCTGACATGAGTTTACTACACTACCCTTTTAAAACATTTAACACCACCACCACCCCCCCCCCCCCAGCAATTATGAAAACTGATGATCCATACTTAAAACCAGGATATAAATCCATTTTGAGAACTAAAGGAAGAGTTTTCCTAACCCTCTCAAATTCAGGGAGAGTATTTCACCTCAGGAAAGGAGATGCTTTCTTGCAGAATAACATTGTTTGGACAAAGATTGCTGAACAGTCATAAATCACCACTCAAGCTAAACAAAAAGTCAGTCCATTTCAGAACATTTGCAATAAATAACTCATTCCAAAGCTCTGGACCCAATTTATTCCGGAGCACTTGAAATTGAAGCTCTAAATCAGGATTTGAAAACAGTTACCATCGAGGATGCTGGAGACCAAACAAGGTTTGAGGTGTTTGAGTCTTTATTTTCACCTGGAAGTTTTATTTTTAGGCATCAGACTTTGAACTGTTCTAGGGATCAAGTCCCCAATTCCTCCCCAGCCCAATTGCTTTAGAGAGGGAGGGCGCGAGCACACACACATGCACTGCTTTATGTGGGTTGGGTTAAGTAACATTAATTCTAATATTGTAATGTATTACACAAGTTGCCTAAATAGAACATATTCTCTGCATTTCCTTTCTCTGCTACTCATGTTCAAGACTAGGTCAACACTGGCTATGTAGATGCCTTAAGTATTTACCTCTTATGTAGGGTATTCACCAGCTTATCATTTAAAACCCTTTGGGAGCAGATACTGTAGAGTATGCTGGTATACCAAGAGAGACATGACTTCCAAACCCCATGATGTTACAGGCATACGAATCATTCACATGCACTTCTCATCCACAGTGTATAAACTACTTCCTGTAACATTTACTCTTGAAAAAATACAGTGTTAGAAACAGCCTTAAAATATTCCCTTTTATAGCAGCTCCACTCAAGAAAACATGAACACACATTTTGCTATTTGCAATCTTTATTTCATGAATAATTAAGAAGAGAACATGGCAACATTGGCAAATTGAAGGCATACATACTAAATACTTATACAGAATACATTATGGAGAAAGTAAATGCCCAGATCTTTAGTGGTCCTTGCAAACTAAAAGCATATTAGGTCCTCCAAAAGGTTTAGCTTAAAATATGCTTGTTGACCTTTTAAGTTCCAATGATGAACAGCTTGTGCCTTCCAAACCAGAAGCAGGGTGAAATACAGTTTGAACATACTACCAAATTTTCCTCAGACCTGTATTTCTCAGCTCTAACTAGAAGCAAACAAATTGTTGGGTTTTTTCTCCTTATTTTTTATATATACACACTAATACACCACCCTAAGTATTCAAGACGCAAGCACTTCTTGAAACATGTTCAATTTTATTAAGAACCTGTAGATGTACCTACATGTATAACATGTATACATGTATGTAGATAGATATATATATCTATGCAAAACCTCTCTATAGATGTAAAATGTCCATATATGCCAATGTGTGTGTGTAAAACATTTGAAAGGGCTCTGGAAAAAAGCGCTTGTTGTCTAGAACAAGAATTACTAAACCCATACATGTACTGTTAGGTAAAGTCTACAGTTGTGTTTCAAGGGACTATAAAGCCAATACAAATCAGGAAAGCTGGATGGATGAGAAGAGCTTTTAAGATTCACTGTGTTCTACATCACCTTTAAAAGCCACTGAAAATGAGCTTTAAATTAGCTATTTGAGATATTATTGCTGGCTGCAGTGTCATCTCAAAGAAGGTTAGTCCTTAGTCCTTATCCAACATACTGATGTGAAGTTAGAGTGAGATATCAATAAAATTCTGTTCTTTCATGAAGTCCAAATTAATCACACTGTTCTGCTAATTCTGCCTCACACCTGAACTGAAAGGACCCTCACCCAAGGGTTGGAGGGTACCTATTAATGCCCTTCTGTCTTTGATCTGGAGAGCTGTCCAACATTAAATGGGATCACCGATTTATTTCATATACATAGAACAACTCTTGATCATTACTGACCTAAAGTGAACTTACAGTCTGGAGGCTAATTAGTCTATGCTTTGTTTAGTAGTGTTATACTTGCTTGCCATTAGATAAAATGCAGGAAAAACATTTCTGTTCAAAATAACCCTTCAGATATGTTTAAAAGTGCTGCTTAAAAATAGTAAAATTGACCTTACAATACACAGAAAAAGTTTCTGACAAACTGAAATGTTGTAAGTTACAAGGATTAATTACTTCAGTATGTTACATGTACTTGTGCCCTCTTTACTGAGCTGATTCCCAAGTAATCATCCTAATGGAACATATGCAATAATTGGAAACCAGTAAAAGCCTCCAGAGAACTTTCAACAATGGGACAAAAAAAGAGCAGCCTCTTTCTCCCCAGCTGTTGAAACACAGTCCAGAAACAAAAACGACTATTCCATTATTGCAAATGCAGTCTACTGTCAAACCAGGTCAGTTCATGAACTGTGGAACCGGGACTGCCAATGGCTCCTCTGCAGCAGGAAATGTCCACTGGGCTTCCTAACTACCATATAAATACACTAGTTACATGCAATTAAAATAATACACATATCACTAGAATCAAAATGCCTGTAATACATAGCTATACTGGGGCAAAGTAGGTTTTAAGCTTTAACTTCTCCAAACACCTTGTTCATATTCTGGAAATCTATGCAAAATACAAAAGCCTTAGAAAAGTGCAACAAAACTAGCTTCATGACATTTTTCTTTCCACTTCCATAAATACAATCTCATAAAATATTATTAAACAGAAGCATACTTCCCAGTGGAGAACAAATGTGCCACATTTCAGCTTTGAGTAAGGGATTTTGGCTAAACTGAAACCCCCTGAAAATAGGGGATTAAAATGAAACCAGCTTAACTGCATCAGGCTGCCATAACACTCTACCAAAAGTTTACCCTACAGTTTTGCATCCACAAGTCCTGCTGGAACTGGCTGGAACTTTATGGGCAACTCTGTGGCAGACAGTGGCATAAGAGTAAAGAATATTCCAAGTAAAAGCTAAGCTAATGTCAGTTGGAAGAAGTCATCCTGTAGTCATAGGTTTTACTGAAGTTTCAGTGAGAGGAAAAAACTCTATTATTTCAGAATGAATGAACTGAAGGAGACGAGGACAGAGGCCTCGTCAAACTGAGTTCAAGGGTGCTGCATCCCAACAACTGGCAAGCACAAATACATAAGGAAAAAAGGACACTTGTATCAACACGTTAACAGAAATCAGAACTGTACAAACCTTGACCTTTTAAGTTACTTTACATTAATTACCAAAAGCATAGCTGCTACATATTCCAGATGCTTAACATCTTGGCTTTGACAATTAAGAGTACTACAACACTGATACCGAAATCAGGGAATACAACAGAAAAACCATACATGAATGAAGGACTGGGAATGCTCAGCAGGCCAGATAGCAATTTAAACCCCATCCAGCCACTCTCCTTTGAAGGCAGAAACACTGTGAGAGCAACCTTTCTAAACAAGGACAATTAAACATACATTAGAGATGTCTGCAAACTCTTAACTCATCTAAGGAGTTGATAACCTGGGGGCAAGGACACCTGATGGACATCCTGGGATGATGTAGGCTGTATGAGAGATAAAGAAGTCATGAGAGAGTTGAGCAGCTCTAACATGTTTCGCCAAGCAACACAACAGGAACACACTTTACGCTTGGGAAGGCACAATGGCATGTCCAGAACTTGTGGATGACAACTACACTTCAATACCAGTTCTCTCCACATCATTTTTCAAAGTGATTAATATTACTGAGCATTCAGACACTAATGCTAGCTTAATGGAAGGAATTCCAGAAATAGAGCTTGGCAGAACATAAAAATAAACCAGGAATAAGTATTTACCAAGTCAAGGGAAGGATCACAACCAAAGTATATAGGCAAATCAGCCTGTACATGGACACTAGTACTTTAAATCCTCTCTCTTAGGCCACCTCAGCAAGAGCAGTACTCACAGTAGGCAAAACCATAGTGTAAAGGTGTACAACTGGATTCCTTCCCAGAAGAATTCAGCCCCTTATCAGCTCTTGCTTGATGCAGCCTGCAGTTAAGCTGTGATTGTATTAGTTGCAAGAGGCAAATAAGAAGTCCTCACATGAACACAGTTTTAAAGGCTTAACTTTAGCCTGTGCATAGCTTCACACCAGCTGTCCAGAGGGGGCAACTTTGGAAGATACAGTCATGTACCACCTGAAACCAGACAGCATTTCCAAACCAGTCCCAAGCAGAGCACAGAAAGAAAAACACCTATAAGTTCCCAAATAACTTTGTTTAAAACAAAGCTATAATGAAAATTGGACCAAAACTGTACAGCAACACAGAGAACTAAGTACAAGTAACTTTTTGATGATGGAAAAGATGCAATAGAATCCAAATGTCTCAAGTGTTGAATCAGGGAACTGATAAAAGAATAGGTAAAAACTTAACATTGATATCATTAACAGAAATGAGATGCCAATGAGAACTTTGTGTCACAGCTACAAAATTCTTAAGGCAGGCCCTCAGCACTTCAAACTACTGTACTGCAAGCAACAGCCAAAGTGATTTCTCCTTAGGCATGTAAACCCAGAATGTGACCGCTGCCAGTGATATTAATGCGAGTTTACACCTACACATTAAAGCTGAGTTCATTTAGCTCTGGCATGATGATGGGCTTTACAGAAAAACACAAACAGTGGAAGCATTTTACAAAATTGGAGACAAAAAAATATCAGAAATGCTACATGTAAATTCAGGAATATATTTTATGCAAAAGAGAAAAGAATTACTTTTAAATCAGAATATGCTGTAACTGAATACAATATTCTGGATAACAATCCAGAAACACAATTCTCAAAGGGAAAATTTCACTCACCATTTTTCAGAGGCATGAGAATGAGAGGTCTTTATGAGGGCCAGAGAGTCACACCAGAGATACTAAACTAGTGTTTCTATTTAAGTAGACAACCAAATCAAACTGGATCAAACAAAACCAACTGAAAACCAAATC